GGAAGGCTTTTTTTGCCAGGCGACCCGGGGACGTTTACGTGAAATCCAACTAAATTCCTCACACCTGGCCCTGGCCCAGGTAGTTCCCTGCGCCGAAGGTCTAGAGTTCCAGCCGTTCCAATGCATGGTGTTTCCGCTTTCCACCCCGACGGCAGACGACGATGCGATGGGAAAGTGCCACGTAGCCCATCCACGCTGGCTTCACGCTGAGGACTAGCTTCCCCCTCCCAAGCAAAATCAATGCTGTGTTTGAGCAAACACAATTCCAGCCCTATTAGGGTGTCTTGCTTGTTCAGTAACAGCTACTTGAGCTGTGCTAGCAGACAGACTCCGCTCAGTTAAACCAAGAGAGCTGGGAAACGAGGCCCGTCAATAAAGGGCTGTTATAAAAATGCTCTGCAGGAGACCAGAAAGCAGGAGCAACAGTCGGAGAGTGTCAATAGATTTACTCAATATCATTTTTTCTCTCTCCAAGAGTGAATGCAAAAGCCACCTCGTGGAAATGCTTTTTATCCAACAAGTCACACCCTAAATAGTAAATATGCATTTCCTAATCAAACCCACAGTTAAATTCAAATTCAAATTTGGCAAAAAGCAGCAGAAGTGAGGAGAACAGGACAATGCTGTGCCTTATGTTCAGTTACACCTGGTTTGGGGCTAGGAATGAAGACCAGGGACTTGAAGGATGAGAGGTGGAGAAACTACAGCATCAGCTAAGTGAGCAAGAAATGTCTAAACATTTCAAGGTCCTGGAGCGAGATGAGAAAGAAGGACAGAGAGGTACCATGAAGAGATATGCTGATAAAAACAAGACATTTATGCTTGACCAAGAAGTGACCTGGGAGCTCACATGTGGATTTAAGAGACGTGTCCTGCAATCTGAACAATGGAGGAGATGAATGGCTTTACCATGCGCTGCGCCTTCTGGGAGGAACCGGTGGGTGGGTCGTAGAATGGAAGGCTGGGGAGGAGATACAGTCGTCCAGGCAGGAGACGACTGTGTTGAAGGTACGGAGAGGCAGGCCAATAGGTGTACGAAGAAAAGCAATGAAGCTTGGGGACAGTCCAAAGACACGGAGCAAAACAGAAGATGGGGACAGGGAGATTCGAGGCCATGGTCCGCAGAAAGAGACTTGCTCTTACCATGCACCTGTCTCCTCTGCATGTTGGGAGCTTATTCCAAGGACTCTGAACATCTTACCTTCAAGGGTATGCCTGAAGCGAGACTCATGGTGGATCTGTTACTCATCTCAAACACTTCCAGTGCTCCACCTGCTCTACCGTGCACCTCCATGTGAGTGAGGCCACCCACACTGACCACGTTTGGGGATCAGTGTGTGGAAATGTGTTTGCGCAGAAATCCAACATCATACACAATGGGGTTCCAGCACAGATGAGCGTCCGCAGAATCAAAGCCAGCTCTTCTCCCTCCCCCCCCCCCTCCCCTCCGAAAACACTTGGATTCTCCACCTGCCTGCTGCCCAGGACCAGAGAAGGAGAAAGGAATGAGCCAAAAGAGAACAAGAGCTCATTTTCAGAAAGGAACTCCAGCCAAGGGAGATCATGGCTGGAAGCATATTTCACTGCCCGCTGACCCTTCACTACACTACCCTGCCCTGGTCTTGAAGTTCCCTGCTCTCTTTCCCCCGTACTTCTCTTCCCTTGTGCGTCTTCTCATTTTAGACTCCAAGCCTGAGGGTGGGGGTCTCTTTGTTCATGTGAGCTCATCTGGGCAACAACCACTGTCTAAAAAGTGGGATAAAAATACTGTAAATGAAGAAAAAAAATACACATCACTGGAAAGTAAAGGAAGAGCTAGGAAGAAATATTTTAGGCAAAGTCTTGATCTTTATGTGGTATCTGTATATGCTAAGAAGTCTTGGTTTGGTCTCTTTAAAAGTAGATTTTCTAATCTTTGGAGGACTATCCACTTGGAGAGCTATTAAGTTTTGTGCACAGAGAATTTATTTAGCTAATAGGTAGTCATGACATGTGAACTGGGTCAGAGACTCTTGCAGATTTGCCAAGAGTACATTTTTATCCCAGCTTCCGAAAGTTGTATTTTACACAGTGTGTGCACTTGGAGTATGAAAAGAGGCCAGGAATGTCAAAGGGTGCTGGGAGAGTCACGTTCTCCGATCTGCAGCCCAATCATCCTGGATTTGGTGCCTCTAGCAGTGTGACAGCCTCAGCTTTGCCGTTTTGGCTTCTAGGGATAGCTCTGGCCTGACTGAATCTAGGGCCCTCTTGTTTGTCCAGGATATTCGCCAAGCTCTCCTCCAGCACCATGTTTTGAATGCATCAAATTTCTTTCCATCAGCTTTCTTAACTGTCCAGATTTCACACCCATCCACAGCAATCAGGAATACAGGAGCATGGATGATCTTGGCCTTGTCTCCAGTAAAACATCCTTACACTTGATGAACTTTTCCAGTTCCTTTATTGCTACCTTTCCAAGTCTCAGTCCTCTTCGTATTTCTTGGTTGTGGACTCCCTTTGAATTGAGGACTGAGCTGAGGTACACAAAATCTTTCTCAATTTCAGTAAAGTTCCGCAAACGTTCTATGGGTGTGATGTTCGTTTTCTCATTGTTCAGCTGCAGTCCTGCTTTTGCACTTCCTTCGTTCACTTTAATTAGGAGTCATCTCAATTCATGGCTGCTTTTTGCTGGTAATATGGTGTCATCTGTATATCTTATATTACGGATGTGCCTTCCACCAATTTTCACTCCTTCCTCTGACCCCAGTTCAGTAGCTCCTTGTCCGTTGCACAGGCTACACCAGGGCAATCCAGTGCTGGGCACCCCATGTCTTTCAGGGCCATCCGTAACTTCTCATGATCCGCACAGTCAAAGGCTTTGCTGTACAGCAGAGACTGATCTTCTGAAATTCTTCAGTGAGCTCTAGTAGCGAACACATAGCTGCAATACACTCTCCAGTGCCTCCTCCTTTTCAGAATCCAGACTAAATGTCAGGCGTTTCTTGTTCCATGTATTCTTCATTGCAAAACCTTGAGCATCACTTTGCTTGCGGGGGAAATTAGCCCAACAGTCCGACAGTTGCTTCACCTTTTGCATTTCCCTTCTTGGGGATTGGAATGTACATCAAACATTTCCAATCCGTAGGCCAGTATTTCCAATCTGTTTTCCATATCTGTTGGCATATTCTCGTTAGGATTAGGGCCAGCTCAGTTTTTGCAGCTTGGAATAGTTTCATCAGTTCCTTATCAATTCCAGGTGCTTTGTTCCTTCCAAGTGCATTCAAATCGCCTTTCACTTTGTCTTCTAGGACTGCAGGCTCTTTCTCACAGGATTCTGTTTGAAGAAGTCTTCCACTCTTGTGCACAGTTCCTCTGTATACCCTTTCAGCTTTCTTTATTTTTTCCTGCTCAGATAGTGTGTTCGTTGTTTGGCTTTCTACATTTGTAATCTAGGTTTGAATTTCCCTTTGATTTCTTATCTTCTTCTGGAAGAGGTATCTTGTTTTTCCTCCATTCTTGTCTTCTTCTATTACCTTGCACTGGTCCTTGTAACTGTACTTTTTCTCTCTACATGATAGTTACTAAAAAGCTGCGTTCAGAAGTCTGACCCTCTTTCTGTCACCTCCTGCTTTCGCTGCTTGCCTGTCCTTAGTAACTGTGTCTCTTCAGTCTAGTATTTCCCTTTTTGCTACAGGAACGGCCGTTTTGCATCCTTCCCCAGCCATGTCTCTGGTTTCAGTTCCACAGCTCATGGTCAATTGAGTTTAAGTAATGCAATTCTGTTCTTTATGCGCTCAGCTCGATTGCATCAAGGCTGTGGATTCCTTTATGCAATGGATCAATCTCAGATTTGGGCTTCCTCCTCTTCTGCTTTTGATTCACTAGCATTACTGTCTTACTATCATAAATAAAGCTGGATCACAACAGGATGCAGAAAACACAATTAAAAACAGCAATAACAGGACAAAAGCAGCACCCGCAATTCCAAAGACCTTTGCCTCCCCACCCCCTCCCCTCAAAAAATAAAATAAATACAAGCAGCAGCGAGGGAGCAAATCTAATCGCCCTCTGCGAGGGGTCCGGCACCTCCGGATGGGCCGCTGAGGAGGCCCACTTGCCTGCCACAAAACCGCCTCTGAAGGCCGCCGTCTCGATGGAGGGATCTCTCCAGAAGACCTCAGGACCCAGAGACGCTTGTAGGGGAGAAGACAAGCGAATCCCAGGCCATCTAGGACTTCATGGGTTCGAACTGTGCCCAGAGACAGACTGGTAGCAAGTGAGACTGTAAAAATAGGTACACGCTCCTCGCAACTGGTCCCAGTTGAGAGCCTGGCCATAGCCCTGCGAACAGCTGCTGTTTCCGAGCACTTTCCAAGTACTGACTGAATGACAGGAGCCCAGTGAGATCCAACTAAGAGACGGAGTAACTCATGAGACACCTCTGGGGCGGGGGACAGGTGCTGCACTGGCCAAGTGCTCCGTCCTCTGCTCTTGACACAAATACGCATGATCGCAAAGAGATGCAGAAGTAGCAGGCACGACTTCTGCTACTCCGGCCTTCAAACCACTTAACTCCTTGTAGACTTTTTGCATTTGCACATCCACAGTCCAGGGAACAGCTGCGTTCAGAAACAAAATACAGTTCCGATCGTGCACGCGGTCCATCATTTACATACTCTTGAACACGCACTGCAAGCTGTGTAAAAGACGAGCAACACACTGCCATGCTTAAGCCAGGAGGGATTCGGAGTGCGCCGTGCAACGTATTTGATGCAGCTTGTTTATGCAATGTTCTGACAGATACAATTAATCTTGTGAAAACAATGCGGATGTTGCATAATAGCATATTATCTTTAAAGGCACAAAACACATTTTTTCCTGAGAGAATTAACAGTCCATTAAAACACAATCTTAGGATGCAAATGCAAGCCTGAAAAGAACAATGTGACATTTTGCATTGGAGGGGAAAAGGCTTCCCATGAAGCAGTTTGGAGTCGTGCAATAACACAAGCAGCACATACCTCCCACAAACGCATCTCCGGCTCCGTTGGTGTCAACAATCTCGCTCTGGTCACTAATCAAGACTGGGAAACTCCGTACTTCATTTTCTACAAAGGAAAGAATGGGAGGGGGGTCTCATAAGATATTTGATAAGCTCCGAAGTTACATGACTGTAAAGAAGCAATGATCAGTATACAGCAACTCATCAGAAATTAGCATGGGTTACAGCTTCTGCCATCTACAGAAGAGATTATAAATTATTGGAATGTGAGAAGGACGCAAAGATCATGCCAACTTTTAGAAGAAAAACCTACATGGGACTATTCCTCTTTTGTAAAAAGTGAGCCTGGATGGTGAGCGCATTTGGGTTTGCAGTCCTAATGCAAACACTGCTGGCCGGCTTTCCCGTCTTTCGGTGGTTCGGCTGGCATTCCAGAATCTGATTTAAACAGGGTGTTTTGGAACATACCTTCTCTATGCGGCTTGCCATTGTGGGTGCCATAACTTTTAGAGGGCTGGGACACAGATTAAATAGCTGCTACCAATTAATCCGCTAGGGCTTTCCAGGGGAAAATGTCACAAGGATGTGATGAAAAACATCATTTTCGCCTAGTTAATGTGTAAATTGCAAGAGAGACAAGAAGCCTCTGCAGGTTCTGCCTCATAGTCAGAGTGGAATTCACTCGGGTAGACAATGAACAGTTGTACAAGCCGACTATCGAGACCACACGGCCCAAAGCGATGAAGCAGTTTCCAAAATTTTGGGGAAGGTTGTACAAGCAGCATGCAAAATGTTTGCCCCGGAATGCCGTTCCCATCCCTAATCTTTACGCCTCCCAACAATTAGTGCACTGCCAGTCTTCTTGATCACCCTGAGAGGGCAGGACATGGAATAAGGGGTTCTCGTTCTAGGAAGCCAGACTCCGGATGGACACCAGGAGAAAGCAGTACCAGCTGTTAGAGCGGTTCGGCAACGGAACCAATTTCCTAGGGAGGCCGTGGGCTCTGGATCGCCACCGTTCTGATTCATCCACAGGTCCCACGTTCTGTCCTTATCCGAAAACTGTACCCTTTTTCTCTTCCCATGTGTCATTTTACGCAATGGGATACTATCTGCCCTCATCTGCCCTCTTCCTCACCCAACATATTCCCAGTGCCACAGTATTTCCTCACAGGGAAGATGCTTTCAGCTCCCTTGCCACTTGAGCCGCCCCTTTTCCCTGCTCCCCAGGGCTACAACATCCCTTTGGATGAGGTTCCTGTTCACCAGGAACGCCCACGGCATGCGGGGGAGGTCAAGCCCCGATGCTTTCGCCGGGTTCCCCCCACCCCACCCTTTCCTAAGGACCCCCCATGCGAGATTTGCCGTCTGCCCCTTCGTTCCTTCATCCCTTTCCCTGTTTTGATTTTTAACAGCACTGGCATTCTGGGCTGCCATTTCCATTGGTCTCTTCTCCACGACACCAGTATTGTGCTCCTGGTCAATCACCATAGCGTAGATCTCAATGTCAATGTTTATATGGGGCTTTTATTTTTAATGTTTTGGCCCCAACGCATGTAATTCTACACGGAGCTACTTGACCATTGCAATGCCCATTCTCCTAAGAGACGATGCGAGGAAACCTCCAAATTCCCCACAGGAGTGCCATAGAAGTATCTGCTGGTTTGGAGATGAGGTATACATATTTTAACAAATAAATGCAGCCATCTTGTTTAACATCTGTTGCCTGTCTGGCTCTTCATCAATCTGCCCCTCCTCACCTGCATTCCTCCCAGGTAAAAGCTGTATAAATTAGCCAATGGCGTTACTTCTCCTGGCACGAAATTCCTTGAGTTAATTCTGCCAGGTGTGGGCATGTGTGTGTGGGAAGGAGGGGGGACAGCGGTTGTCCCAAACGTGCTACCTTTCCATTTCACTGGGTGACTCTTGAATCTTACGAAAGGGAAGCCCTGCTCACTTTTCCCTTCCCCATAATTGTACAAACTTCTGGAACATCTTCCTTCGTCTCCCCCAGACAAGTGTTTTAACTGTTTCTCATAGAGAAGAGCTCCAAAGTTCACAGGCTGCTGGACAAGAATGCTGTGAGAGCCTATTGCCAAGCGCATTTTCTCTTCCCACGTGTGTGCAGGCAGCAAAGGAAACTCATTTGGGGCATGCACCAGTGCCCAATGCCCAATCCAGAGCAGGCCTGACTGGATCCGATTCGACATCACAAGGCCTGGAAAAAATACTTGTGGAGCAATGATTGCAAAGTGCATTTGTGTGTGAGCACACACACACCTCTCTATTTTTCTGCCATCAGTCACAATCCTATGCCCGCCAGGTAGGATGTTTATAGGAGCGGAAATTGCAGCCAAGAATTGCATGGCACACATTTCTCTACACTGGCAAGGCTGCTAATGACTTAAAAGAGATTTAAAAAGTGAATTCACTACAGTTATGATAGGATAATATATTGCTGCCTATGTGATTTATCCCTAATTCAATTACTCTCAACTCTGTCTGATTAGCTGGTCCTGAATATACAACAGGTAGTATTTTGCGTTGGAAGTCCTAGATTTCAACATTTTAATTCTAGGAAAACACAACTATATTTTACAGTTCTTGCTGATATGTGTCACCATGGCAAGCACTACCTGCTGGCTTATTTAGCCGCTGGAATCACACACCTCCAACAACGCCTCCCTTCTCTGTTCCTAGTAGCCAAACCATCTCAGCTCAGAGTCCTCTGTCTCTGAAGCAGCACCCTGACTAGAGAGGAGAGACTGTTCATAGACTGAGAACTGGATGGAGGCCTCAGGAAAGACACTTTCCTTTTTCCTGAGAAAGTTTGGAATGATTTTCCTATGCATGACTTAAGACAAATACTAGAGAGAAGTGATTAAGTAAATGTTAATTCCAAAAGAAATTCTGTAAGCTTCATTTGTGACCTCATGTTTTCATTCACATTGTTCTGCAACCATAAGGACTAAAAACATTTTTTTTAAAGCTGGGATTTTTGGGTTAGAGCTTACCAGTCATAAGGCATAATATATATCCACCACACCACTCTCATTCCTTACTATATTATTATACATTTACTGTTCAATCCTATACATAAGAACTTGGAGAGAAGTTCCAGAGAACTTCGTGGAACTTACAAGACTGCACTGCCCAAATCTTAAGTATTTTATGGGTTTTTAGTAAAATTTCAGGGTTATAACCTTTTGTTCCACCAGTCCTCCCTTAGGATTTGAGAACTTTATCGCCTTTCATTAAAGTCCCCATAGATTTCCAGGGGCTTTTGTGGCTTCTCAGAGTAGGGCTTGCTTACTAAAGGTGCAATCTTCTGTATGTTTGGATCAGAAATGCTGGCAGGAAAATACTAGGATGTGTTGGACTTTTTCTGTCTAAGCATGCGAAGGATTCTATCTAACCATGTAGCTTGTACAGGTATTTGAAGCTGGGAGTGATTCTGGCCTGACGAGAACTGACATTTGTCTTACCTCCAAGGTTCAGCTCTGAACTAGATTCATCAAAATATGGAGTAAGATACATAGCTCCCAATGGGATCATTCCTGAAAGAGTGGCATTAAAAACCTAGAACAGGATTTGCCCCTCAAAATGAAAGAAATTTATTCATCCTAAATTAGTTGTTGATTGTTCCTTGATAATTAAGTATACAAGTCTATGATCCTTTCAGGATCACATAATTAGTATCCACATGATTTCACTTAATTGCTGCTCTAATTGGAATGTATAGGATTTACCTCCTTTCAACATAATTGCATGCACATTTTAGTATAAATTATGTAGCAGTTTTATTTAGTTTATAGGTTATTTCCACATATGGAACACCAACCTATTAAGGACGCTTGTTGTTATGTCCCGACAGGTTCTCAGCAAAAGTTCCTGAATCGCTGGTTTGCACAGCAAACCTTTAAAAGCACGGCTGTGGGGTCAGATGTTCATAAACGCAACAGAACTTGGCTGGGCAATGTGCATGCGCGCACACACATGCACCCCCCCCCCACTGTCTTTTACAGGGGAAACTGGGAATTATTAAAAACAGGCTGCTCAACATGAGCACAACCAAGCTGGAAGGCATACATTAGAAATCTCTGTCCTTCACATTTTGAGAAAGTTGTCAAATTTATGCCACTGTCTGTCAAGTTTCATTACTCTTCTTTTAAAGCTTTTTTTTAAATAGAACTCTTATCTAACTGCATTGTGGGTTTTGGCTTTCCTTCTTGACCTCTGAGCATGTATTCTGAGCTTATCTTTTTTGCTTCAACCATCCAAATAAAATTTAGCAAACATACTAACAAAAAGCGAGTTAAGAATGTCCTGGCAAAAAGACACAAATTAATAGTTTCTTCACTTTTTCGGCCATTTTTCTGCTAGGTGCTACCAATCATTATGGAAGGTAAGCAAAAGATGGAAAATAGAAATTGATTTAGTGTACAGATAAGGGGCTAAATCACCTACATGCATTCAAGCAGGAAGCAGCAGCTGAAATCAATAACGCCATATTTATTCATTTACAGCCACTGTGTATTTGGTTTAATGTTTTGTGTTACTCTAGTTAGTGAGCTATTGGGAGAATTACAAGAAGACTTCCTATGTTTTGCCACAGTGAAAGACAGAAGTCCGCAACCTTTATAGCAAAGGTTGCAGTGCAAATATTACCCAGCCTGACTAATCAAACTGGAGCCTACAATGGCCAAGTTTGAAATCAGGAAGATTCTGAATGGGAGCAGAACCTTAACAAGCAGTCTTAGCGATGTCCGACGCTCCCCAATAGTATAATTCAACTGCTTCAAGCATCTGAGTTTAATTTAATTTACCAGTGCAAAAAGAATTTTCCATGGCATTTTCGGACAGATTGCCAGCTCAAGACCACTGGTACCCCAGACAGACACTCCAAATGGCATCTCCTCTGGCAATAATACGTAACTCCTCCATGCAGCCCCAAAAGTACCCAGCGCATGCTCCGACCACTTGGCCTAACTACGGGGCTGTGTCTCACTGGTTGTCGCTGTGCGAGGCACATGGGACACACCGGCTGCTGTCCCCTGCAGTCCTCTGATTCCAGTTTTTGCTTCTACACAGAGAGCCCATGAGAAAGGGCTAATGCATTCTTATGCGCATCACTAACTGGTATTTCCTTTTACCAGGTGCTTTTACATTTAATTCTGCAGCAAAAGCATTTTGTTGTGATTCGGCAGCTGAACTTGATATGATTTTTCTAAAACAATTAATGACACAGCCCTATCTCTAGTCAAGATCCTTCTTGAGGTTTTTTTAAAGATGGAATTCCTTTTCTGATATGGACACAGAGCCCCCCCCCCCCCCCCCCCCCCCCTTTTCCTTCGCCCCGTTTTCCTCCTCCAGCTGTTTATTGTCTCCGGGCTCACCTGGTTCTCTCAGTATCACTTTCATCCCTGCTCCTGGTTGCTCCTTTCTTCCTATCAGGACAGCTACTGAGTAAGCTTGGCATACGCCCCTGCTTTCCACGTGCAGCTGAATGCTCATGCTTTTTAAGTGCACAGGTTGGATCTTTCCACAAGCTGGGCAGCTCCAAAGACTTCTCATGCGAAGTCATGGGAGTCTCCTATTCTATGTGAGCACTCCTGGTTGTGCAACAAGATAGTAACCGGTGGCACCCCTTCTTGAGGAAACAGCAGTGTACCAGGGAGTTTTCCAGGTCTCATTCCTGGCATTATTACTTCTTCCATTTGCTATCTTCCCACTGGCGTTCATGAGCCAAATATCTGATATTTTCATGAGTGGGTAAGGGCCTCTGTGTGGCATGCAGCTCAGCAAATCTCTTTATGCCTTGCATGCTGACACACACGGAACCTGCTTTTGGTACCTGTGCACATGGGGGGGGGGGGGGAGACTCTGTCTTTGGGACAACAGTGTCCCCAAGCACCTCGGTTTGCTTTTTTCCACAGAGGTAAACAACAAGCTTAAAGGAAAAAGCAAGCTGGCTAGCGCCCAGAGAGCTCAACCGATCTGTTTCAGGAGCATTTGTTGCCCATTTGGTTCTGGACCCGATTTCAATGGTGGATCTTTTCCTTTAAAGCTCTTAAAATGCTAAGCCCAGGTTGCGCCAAGAAGCACCTTCTCCCATGCAAAATGCCAGCGTTAAGATCAGCTTCAAAAACCTCACCGTTGGTCTCCCTGTGAAGGGAGATTAGACAAATTGAGACACGGAAGTGGTGGCTCCAAAACTTTAGAACAGCAGATTGGATTGTTCTTCCTTACTCAATGCACGAATCGCTGTATAGGCATCCATCTCAGAGGGTCGATGGATCTTAAATGACATCTTGGTCACCAAAACTTATATTCCATGTTTATGGGACACCGTAGTATCTTTTAAGCAAAGGCTTGTGTAAATCAGCAAACTTCCGGAGGTATAATTGAGCTAATGCTTTTCTTACCCATAAGTTTCAGCAATGCCCAAAAGCTGTCTCTTTTGAGGAGGAGCTAACGGTATGGATTACCCTTTTTCTTTCGTATTTATCAGTGTATCTGTTCTTAATTATTTATCTGTTTCCTGGAATGTTGCACAAGGTCAATGCAAACTGATTTTCCACATGCTTTTCCACACAAATGAGGACTGAGCAATGCTTGGTCTGATTATGTGTTTTTTAGGTGTAACCTGTGAATAGCTAAATACATGGATATTTGCCCTGCCTTTGCTGAAGCCTGAACATAACTCTGCTCATGGAAAGTATTTTACTTTATATAAAATGTAAATGAAAATGTACTGTTCATATGTATTAACTGTATAGGTCTATACAGATATCATGTATGAAAACAGCAATATTTATTTCAATATTTTCTGTTTTGATTTAATGAAAGAACAAATAATCACAAAAATAATGCAAATGACCAGAGTGGCACAGTGGCATGAATGCTGGATGGGGACTCAGAAGATCTGGGTTTTAGTCTCTGCTCAGCCATGAAACCCACTGGGTGATGTGGGTCCCATCACTGACTCTCAGCCTTACCTCAGCAAGGTTGTTGTGAGGATATTATTATTGTTATTAGAACATTAGAATGGAGAGAATTACGTAGGCTGCCTTGGATTCCATGCAGCAAAAAGGTAGGATATAAATATAACAAACAAACAAACTTGTTTTTCTGGTCCTTCTGCTTTTAGCTGTGCAATGAAGACTTCTTTATTTAAACAGTCTTTTAATATTTGATTTTTACAGTCATTCTTTTTTGCTATATATTGTTACTCTCTGTTTTTATTATCTGTTTTTAGCCATTTAGAAATTTTAAATATTTCATTGATATTTTATTGCATTTTATCATCTGTTTTTATAGACTTCAGAGAGCTTCAGCAAGGAAACAAACTAACAAAGAGAGCTTCCTTTGTTTTTAATTGCTTTTTTACTTTGCTGCTTCTGTTTATTTGTATAAGCCTTTTGGGGCGGGGGTAGTTTGATATTATTGATTTGACAGATTTGACTTTTGTATGTGGAATTGATTTTACTGTTGCTGTTTTTGTAAGTGCAGCACTGAAAGTAGCTGCATTATACACATTTCCAAACATGCAACCATGGATCCAGGGAGCAATTGTGCAGGCTTAAAATACACACACACACACACACACACACACACACACACACACGTATTTAAACTCTAGCAGCCAAGATTACTTGCAGTTCAAATGCATAACAGAGGGCATAACCATCCAAAGAAGGGACTACTCTTGCACTGCCCTGTCTCAACGAAGTCCTCATGATTTTAAATATCCAGAACAAGTGGAAGAAAATCCTCGGGCTACAGCTATGAAAAATCACAGTAAAAGACAGGATAATATTCCCACCTGTCAATACAACGGCCATTTAAAAAGGAAAAGCTTCAGTGGCTTTCTGAAGTGCCTGCAGCCGGAACGGCAGTGTGCAAAAGGTACTGTAATTTTGCCTACTATAATTACGCAATTATTGGTGAACTTGCTGTTGATCAACAAGGCAAGCATTAGGACGCTATTTTTATTTTTTTACAACCAAGTGATTAAGAAAGCTGCTTATCCCCTTCCACTATACCCCTGGTTAATCAGATCGGTGTTGCAGATGTTCATGCGTAGGGCATTGATGCCTAATGGTGCGTGATGCTCTAGGTGGTTCCCACAACCTTGCTTTGTCTGGCGGGAGCTCCCTCAATTGATATGATAATAGAGGGAAGGGGGCTGAAACAAGCGGGGCGGCCTCGCGCCATTTGCATAGCTTTTAAATTGGCTCTTATTTGATAGCCAACTGCTTGCAGAATTCTTGTTCAGTTGTCACTGACAACAATATATTGTACACACAGCGCTACACAACTGACTGAGCAGGTGGTATTGTGAAGGGGGAGGGCACAGAGGAGCCGGCGTGCAGGACTTCCAGCGTTCACCCCGTCCGGGGTCCCCCTGCAAATCGGGGCAGCAGACGCAGAATGCTCCGCTCGGCAAACCGGTCCTTCTTGCTTCGCCCCTTCCACGATAACCGCCACTTGGCCCAAGGCACGTTGGGGCATTAATTCAGATGGACTGACACAAAGGTGCCCGACTCCTGCCCCAGCTCTAGAGACGCTTCAGACCACCCTGACATATCGCAAGCATGCCAGGCGGCAAGGGCTGAGACCCCATGCAGTGCATTTACCCACTGAGCTCAGCTCCTGGGAAGGCGCGCCCGGGAAAGCAGGCCAGGGTGCGCACCCGGCCGCTCGCGATGCCTGCGGGACTCCCGATTCAATTTATCAAGTGTAAGGAGCCACGAGGCTTAAATCAGTGTGCCACCCACACCGGCAGCTGCTGCCACTGAGGACGGTGTGCCTGGGCAGGAGCTCACCAGCAGGTGCGTTCGCCAAAGTAGGACTTTAAGGGTAAACACCGGATCCATCGGGCATCAGGATGAAGGAAAGGCCGAGAGCCATCCGCACGCCCTCAGAGGGCAAGCAGCCGCCTCTGCTCCCCTCCTGGAACAGTCTGTGTCGCGCCACTGGTCTCTATCGGATCACATGGGCTGCCTCTGGCTCGACTTGGCCCTGCCCAGGAACAGGGGCGGCCAGGGGCGCAGTGGCCTGAGCGAGATGGCGCTCCAGTCCTCTCCCATTACCAAAGCAGAGAAGCATTTTGCAAAGGAAACATTATTTGAAACGTACCGAATGAGTCGAAAGCTTCAGGGGTGAGGTGCAGAGATGCACGCGTGGCCGTTTCTACCACTCCAGAACTCCAGAGGGGAAAACGCAGTCTTCTCTTTGGCCGGAGGCCATGCACAGCCAGAAATGGCACCCTCCCCACAGCACTGTTTGCACAGTCTCAGTAAAGTATCAGGAATAGTTTAGGGTGTTACTAGCAATATTATGAAGTTGTTCAAAACAAAGATGCTTATGTGTAATTTGCACTTCCCTCATTTTTTTGAAAAAGCAATTTTTTAAAAGTGTTCAATGGAAATGGAATAGAATTGTGTTCCTAGGTTAACCTCTTCTGAAAGGTGAGGCAAAGCAGCCCTCTTCATCACTGGGAGCTCTCGTTTTAAGTTCAGAGTAGGCTCAACCTTGAACAGTGCGGCATTATCAGAAAACCATTAACAGTCTATAACAGAAGGAAATGCTCATTAATAAAAGCAAAGGCGTACAAAGGTAGAAAAGGAAGTTTTATTAAAAGTATTGATCACGACCTAAGGGCACAGAAGACATTGATCTTCCTGCATTGCTGAAAGAAAAAAAAGTTAACAGCAGCTTATTGATCTATTATGAAGACTCACTAGAAAAAAATCAGCACCACAGAGATAAAGCATTTAATTCCAGTATAATAAGCAGACTGGATCTGCATGCGCCTCGTACCCCCTGCAGTAAATAGCTCGAGCTGGCTGATATTAACAGACCTGCAGCTTTCTTTAATTCTTTGGCCTCGTCCACACTGTCGTATGGTATAATGAATGCTTTATTCAACACCACTTGTATCAGTGGAAATGTTTCAGTTTAAAAGATGGAAAAGAAAGTCTGGATTCTTTTTCCATGGATGGAAGTTAACTGGAGTTCTTCTCTTGGGAGTGACTGCAGAATACATACACGCAGGGAATACTCCAATCATCACACACATTATCCATGTCTGCGCTTCCTCCTACCTGTAATTAATGCTGCCGTTTCATTACAATTGATCTTTGGGGGAAATGATCTCCAGCCTGCAGTTGCACTGAATAATAATGTGGAACATGGCCAGGCAATTCTGCCATAGAGCACAGACCCACCGGGGAGCAGAGGTGCAGCAACGGGTTGGGGAGACGGATGTGGGCGCCGCTCCCCACAAGACACTGACAACCCCCCGTGTGAGGGAGGCCGGTCACGTTCAGGGAGGCCTTGGGCTCGAGGGGGCCGTTTGCAATGGTGGGGCTTGCACCAGCGACCCTCCATGCGCATCGGAGGAGCCGAGCACCCATGAACGGGAGGGTGCTGCTGGGTTCTCACTGGGGCAGGTCTGTTTTTTCATTTCTAAATGGGGGGGGGGGTTACCAAGAGCAGAACCTCCCTGCTCAGTCCTCTCCCGCCATGATGCGCGCCTGTTTCCACAGATTACTCCCCAGTGGCCCAGGCCATGAGTGGCGTGGGGTGGCATGGCGTGGGGTGGGGAAAGGCAGAGCAGGAGCTGAGGACAAGGCTTTGTGCCCGTTTAACAGGGCAGGTGGTGAGGTGTCAGATGGTCTAAACGCTAGGAAGCTTGCCCAAAGACGAGTTCAGCCTGGGCCATGCTAACTTGGCTGGTCTTGCTCTTGAGAGACAGCACATCCAGCCGCCTTAGACTATGGTAGGAGGCGGCATATAAATATAAATATTTTCGTTATTAAATACCTACCAGCCAAAGCCTACCCTTTCTGCTGCACTGCTCACTCTATTTCACAAATTAAAAACAGAAATATGTGGAGGCTGCCCACTTGGCCCCTTCACAGCTTGTTTGTGTTGCTAAATGGACAGATCGGGCCGTTTCCAGAAGCCGGAGTGGCATGCACTACTTCTGCAGGATCTTGGGCTGTCGCTGCCACCGGATGCATGGAAGGGCAGAGGGAAGGCAGTAAAGCGACAGTCTGCTCAGAGCGACTGTGCCAGTCTCATTATTCGCAGTGCCTAACGCTGTGGGAGAAGTCAGGCTGACTCTCAGTATTGGAGCTGGCTGGACCTGGCCCAGATGACCCTCCATTCCAAAAACCTGTCCAGGCACCCTAGCCTAGGATGGCCGCACTCACGGGTCGAGCAAACAATACATACACCCCCCCCGGACAAGCTCTAAGGACGACTGTCACGTCATGCGTGGGGCAAGGAGGGTGGCTGCATGAGTCAAAAATGTTGTACAGGTGTCTGTGGAACAACTGGGCAGGCTGGTACAAAATAAGCAGCTGATTTTGAGTCACTCGTGTCTCCCGGCTTCAGGCTACAGCTTGATGCATAGACGGCTGGATAATGAAAGCAGGGCTTTTTGTGTCCTGATGTATTGAGCTGGGCTGCTTAAGCACAGTTGTTACAATTTTAATCGTTTTCGTATGATGCCTTGAGAATGTATTCATAAAAACAACTGAACGAATGAAGACTAATATCTACAATTCACATACAATGACGAAAAAGCCAAACTATCAGAAAATCAAAACAATGCACTCTGGAGGAGTATCTCAAATACTAGACACTCAGGAAAACTTCCTCAAACAGAAAAATGTAACATGCCGGTAATGCCAACCTTAATCAAGTGTTCCTGTTTTCGAGATAAGCTTACGGAAAGCCAGCCATGCTGTGCTGGCGGCAGGGAGGCGGAAAGGAAACCCACTTCAAGTGCACTGGTCTCTCTTGATCTCCAGGACAGCCTTCCAATGCCATGGGGTGGTTACAGGGATCATACCATGGTAGTTCCTCCCCAGCATCTCTGGCTGGCAGCAAACAGACGTGACAGCCACGACTGAACCCAAGCTCATCTGTTTCAAAGAGAACCATCCATTCCCAAGATCCAACTTAAATTTCCAAAATGAAGGAAGTCACCATAAAAACTCCCACAGGTGGAAATCCAACTCTCTACTGGTGTTCGTTCCTGCACGAGCTTCATCCGGGTGAAGTGGAACTCTGCAAGAACACGATGGTGTTCCTGCACAGCTACCATAAAGCTCAATGGGCCATGGCGCGTCCATTACGCCACACGGACCGGGTTTGCTGCTCATCTCAATCTCAATGTTCATCTCAATTTTAACGGCAGCCAAAAATGCCACACAAGAGAGTTCCTGCTTTGTAGAGGCTGACTCTAAAAGTATTACAAAAATATTAGCAAATACTAATGCTAACTGACTATAAAAGTATTAGCAAATTGCTAGCCATGTTTTCCTTGGCACTCAAACAGAAAACAGTATCAAATTACAAAACACCGCCTATCAGTCCAAAGCTTAGATGACGTATTGTACACCCTCAGAACCGACTGATACGAGCTGCATTATCTTGCAGCCCTATTGTTTTGGGGCTGGCCTGCATGCTTGCTTTTCTGACACTTTGGTTCGCTTCATTCTCCAATGCGTTTATATGACAAAGGAATCAGGAAGATGCAGAAGCAAGTGGAAAGCAGGACTGATGCTCGTGAGTGGGGGCTCGAATTTCCATCTTCCTTCTCTCTTTGCATAAAGGACAAAACCTCTGAGCCATTATACTGTGCTAATAAGCGCACAACTATTACTAATGAACCTTCATAAACGACTGACCCTCGCACATCCAATTTATGCATTTTAAAGGCTTTTAAACATAAACAAACATTTTAAAACAGGGAACATTTCAGCATAAAACTTCAGACGCAAATGGAAGTAAGCAGTCATGCTGCCTATGGCCTGCACCAAAATCAAACAGGAACAGACCTGAAACAAGCCCTGGAGGGGGCAGGGACTGGCAGCCGCCACCTGCGCACAGCAGCCACGCAAGCTGCGTCAAGGAACAGCAGGGCTCCTTCCTCTCACCTCGCACCTCGACGTTAGGGCTTAACTGATCGTCCCTTATTCCCTCTCCTGGAGGGCCACCTGCACCTGCCTCGGCAGGTCAGCAGGATGGCGCCCTCCCCTGCACAGGAGGCAACGGGCTGGCGAGGGATCCCGGGAAGGCGCGTGGCAGGCACAGCTGTGCCCTCAAACAGCTGGGAAGGTCGGGAGGAACACTGGGAGCTGGCTGCCCCGCTCCGGAGGGAGGGCACCACACCCCGCGCGGATGGGGCTCCTTGCCACTGCCCCACCCGCCCGCAGCCAAGTGGCGCTACCCTCGTGCCTCGGCCCCGAGACACGCCTGCCCCTCAGACTGCAATTTTCTGCTGCGAAGCGAACCCTCGATTCCCAGGAGGCAAGCAAAATGCATCCTCTGACTCGCCTCTGAATAAATGTCTCCAGTAAGTCATTTATTCCCCGAACATGACAGGAAGCTGCAAGTCCAGCTCTGCCAAGGTTACCACCCAAGCCCGTTCCGAGATCTAACTCCCAATCCGCTCATTTCCTCTCTGCTACGCCCTTTGCCCTTCTTTCTCTTCTTCAGAAGGGATGTGTGAGGAATCCAGTTTGCGGGTGGAAATCCATCGGATTCCCTGCACTCCAGTCCTCTTTTACAGAAACCCCTTTGAAAGAAAGTGAGGAGCAGGCTGGAACGAACAGGACACTTCTGCACTCCCAAAGACGCTCGTCCACCACCAGCTGAAGACCTTTCTATTGCTCCAGGCATTTCAGTCTTTCACTTCCTGTTGTTCGAAATCTCTTACTGTATTTTAAACCTTTGCATTGCTGCTAAGGTCTCACTGGTTCTTCTTTTCAATTTTACACGACAGTTCAGCTTCTATATATTCTGTATGACCATGTTGTATTATATGGTTAAACTCACTGCGAAACAGCTAGAGAGCTTTAACTATTGGGTGGCATAGAAGCGTAATAAATAGTATTTTTGCGCACTGATAGCCCCTGGAGGCAGCTGCAGCTCCCATAACCTAACCCACAGTGCCATTGTGAGCATAAGAATGTGATATCCGTATCTGCAACACTATTCACAGATTTTAGCACAATGGTCCTACTCCACTATATGCAAGCCCAACGCAGAACCACTTCTAAAAAAGCAACATTTAAGGAAAATTCTAGCACCACTTTCTCAACCACAGCTGCCCCATTTCGCTTGATCTCGGCAAAGCTCAACGGTTCCCCCCACAGCAGTGAAGATAAAAGCTCAGCTACACGAATGTGCAGACGTTAGCAAATGTTACATATGGAATAAATGTGAGGCTTAAAAAGCAAACAAAAGTGACAACAGCAGAGCACGGCGATCCGAAAGCCCAATGAGACACCCAAACCACTAGAGACTCTATTCTTTTCTCGTCCCGCACCACTTGCTTTTCTTTTTAAAAACCAAACAAATCCGGTTGGAAGAACTGCGGTTAGACGGGATGGGCAACTCTGGGTCCCCCACATGTTTTGGCCTGCATCCCCCACAAGCCCTTGCAGCGAGCGACGCCAGCGCCGGCTGGCCAAACCCCTGGAGGGCCAAATGTGGCCCACCTCCACCACGCTCCGCCTGGCTGAGCCATTTTAAACCTACTTAGCTGCTAGGGATTTATCTAAGTTGCATTTTAGGCAAGTTGCAGCCTTCCAAAGCAGCTGTATGTCGTGGCAATGCTGAACAGATGTTTCCAGTCTCCAGTGCTTGTAAAACACCAGTTCTAAACTGGTGCTGGCCATGGGCAGGACGAGGGTGAATGGGCCGGAGCTTAATCAGGGTAGAAGAGGGGAGCCCCGGTCAGTGCAAGGGAAGGCCAGGAAACGGGGAGCCAGCCTGAAACATTCTGGACAGGCTCCAGCAGCGCTCAGGCTGAGCCTGGCACACAGAATGCGCCCCTACCCAGAGACCCCCGATCTGGCCACAGTCCCACGCGCCACGGTGACAGCCACCCTGGACTGCGCAACGTTGGAAACTCTGAGTTGGGCTGCCTTCGGAAGCTGTCCAGGCAGGTGCAGATGGCTGACGGGAGCCTGCCAGAAGGAGCACGGGACTCTCCTGCAGCAGCTCCACTGGGAATGGGTCATTTTCCGGGCACGATGCAATGGGCCAGGCTGCCCTACGAAGAACACACGGCCTGGGGCTGGGCGCCCAAGCCTGCCAGTCCGGGACGGGAGGGTGGCGGCTCCTCGCCAAGGCATATCTGGCCGGGAAGGGAGAAGGGGGCCCTGCAGACGCCGCTCACGGGCCACGGAGCCGCCTCCGGGAGGAAGCGGAGCCTGCTTCCCGCAAGCTGTCCTCCCCCTGGCAGGCAAAGCCAGCTTGTGTGTGAGCGGGGGTGCTGCCGAGATGGGCACTGTTCTGTTTTTTAGGGCAGTGTTTTCAATATCTTTGTTCTACGATTGTTTGAATTAGGCTTTCATTTTAAATGTTGTTTTACATTGTTGTGAGTCGCCTTGGGTGCCTTTTCATAGAAGAAAGGGAGGGCGTGAATTCAGTGAATGATAAACACGAGGAACAGGCTGGGCTGGGGGTTCCTACTGGGGAATGAGAAGCCACAGAGTGGTGAGTAATAACTAGATAGTATGGGAGAATTGAAGGGTTCTGTGGTTATCCTTTCTACAAACCCTGAACATGAAACACATTCCTGTTTTAGGGGAGCACAGAGGTGGGCCGTGTTCAGAAATCAAGGCAAGCAGCCGTGAATTGGGAAAGGCTCCCTCCCAGTCCCCCCCACCCCACTAATGTTAGTATTACTTGATTTTATCTGGCCAGGGCGGCTTATTTTATATTGTATTTTTGGATTTTTAATGTTTATATTTATTGTAATTTATATTACAATTACTTTTATTTATTGTTGTAAGCCGCCCCGAGGCTTCGGCGAATGGGCGGCACAAAAATGTTTTAATAAATAAAATAAATAAATAAAATAATGGGACCTGACACATGATGGGTCTCCCCATCCATCCCGGACTAAGGTAGCCACCCGTGAGGGCAATGTGGAAGCAACGCGCTCTGACTCGCTGGGGCCGCGCCAACAAGGGATGCAAGAGACGCAGACTCCGGCTGAAGGCCTGCTCCGGCTCTCCCCCATCATTCTCTCTCTCACACACAGCGGCTCCTTTTTCCCAAAGTCGAGCCAACAGTGTTGCCTCCCAACCAGAAGGATGGCGGGAGAGTGAGCGAGAATGAACTTATATTGCAGGAGGTAAGGAAGGCCCAACTACTGGTCGCTAACCAAGCTGCTCATGTGCCTCACTTCCTTTACGCTGCTGCTCGCTTGGACTCCTCCTCAAGCTCAGCTGATCCGAACACAGAAAATAGCTTGCCATGTTAGTGCAGTGGAGACAATTCAAATTAAGGTGAGCAAAATACTCCACCACCATCTTGGCTTGGAATGGTATCCTTCCTTCCAACTTAATTTTTAAAGAGTGCTCAGCAAGTCCTTGCCCCCGCAAACACTTAGCAGCTGCTTTGTAGTTTCTTGGCCCTTGCATACTCGACGCACAACTGAAGAATTGTGTGGTCTGCTAGGAAAGTGTCGTTTGCTTAGGTATCCACTTCAAACCAAACATTTGCTAAGTTTTTTTGCCCCATGCAAAATGGCACAAGAGTAGGCCGTACCTCAACGATGCTTAAGAAACTGCCTGAAAGGTTTGCTAAGAATCACAGGACAAGGGCTGTGCTTTGCAAGCAAAGAGATGGCTATGAAGGAGTGGAAAGCCGGCGTCTTCAAGCGAGCGCTGCACAACACAATTAAAGGGTGCTACTATACGCTCCATGAAGAGGCACTTCTCCTCACATTAACTATTTTATAAAGCGGTGTGTGCAGGGGCGTGCACACCCGTGAGTGGGAGGCCAATCCATATTCAAGAGGCAAGGGAGAGGGTATATAAGCGTGTGCAGGGGAAACAATAACAAATTGGCATATCTTTGGAGAATTGCCCTGTAGGCCATGCATTTTTATGTTCTTAATCATTATTAAACGACTTCATGTCACACACTGCCTTGTGAATGGCTGCGTCCTGACACAAGAACGAATTACAAATGAAATGGAAGATCAAGCTGTATTAGAAGGACTGCCTCTGGGAAATAAAAATCTTTAATTCTCTTTTATTATTGACATTTATTTGGCTGCCACGAGTAACAACATGGCAAAGAGATTCGGCTACGCTTGTGTGCTGAACAGATTATCCCTGGGCTGGAAACTGACTTAACATTTATCATGTTTACTTATGTAGCTGATACTGTGGCATAGACTTCTCTATCCATCTTAAATTTATCAGGTGAGAGGAAATGCATTCCATAATTTAACTTAATTTTCTTAAGGAACCAACAGGAGAGATTGGAAGGCATCAATCCATAAGTGCATGCAGAGCCGTCATTTCCTAGCTGAAAAAAGATCAATTAGCTATTGGTCACAAAGCTGAACTGAAGTCGAAACATATGCACACTTCAATGGCAATCTAATTTTGCAGATGTCTAAGAGATTACAGGGATAATGATGTCACAGAATGCCAAGAGCTGGGTGCAAACTATACATTGATGTATTCTAGGCCTGTGCATATTAGATTTTCAGGTAAGGTACCTATGATCTTACACATCTTGTCACCTGATGAATGGATGAAATGACTGGGACACTTTTTGGCCCAGAGATGCGTCGCAGGAATCTCAGCCAAAATCATCCTCTGCTTGATGAGGCGAATGAATTAACACAATAAAGAACCAAAATTAGTGATGTGCAAGAGAAACTGAATACACCGAATAAGAAAAAGCAGTGCAAAACTACAAAAAAAACCCATGCAATTGGCTGATATAACCTTAATTTGCCTAATAACAATATAACCATAAGTTGAGTCTAATGAAATGATTATGGAACCCTTTTAAAAAACTTTATGGTGCCACAAAGCTTGAATCCTCATTTGCCCAGGGCAAGGAAAGCTCACCTGTTCTGCTCCTTGAAAATTCAACTTCCTGCTCCTTGCCACTTTCACTTCCAGGCAAACCATCGATGGCAATTTTGATGATTGTGTTTGTCACTCTGGTATAGCACTGCTTTTTCTAAACAATTTACGTGGATAAAATTGGAAGCCATGGAAGAACCAAATCAGAAATCATACATTTTCCTATACAGAAATGCTTGACAAAGGATTTCCCCTCCTATGCACATCAGCAACTACAGACATGTCTGATCAAGAATCACAGATGGGTCAAAACTAAGGTTTGGGTCAAAAGGGAGGCATTATCCACAACGCTTGCACTGGAATATATTTAATCCCAAAAGCAAAACACAGCAGGGACTTTTCTGTCATCAACCAGTGGAATTATGTTGCGATCTTTTACAGGTTGCGTATACATGAGGTGTTGCAAATTTTTAAGTATCATCGGACTGTTGCTGTTAGTAACAACAACATGGATGAAAGACAACATTTTTGAAACCTACCAAGTATTAAACATTTAAATATGTAATTATTATTTTAGACATGTTAAAATATGAAGTACCTGTGGCCATAATGGTGTCATCCTTCCCTTGAGTAAACACAACAACCCGTTGCCTTTTAAGGTTCACTTTTGGCAAAGCTTGTGTCTTCCGCGCTATCTCTTTTATGTCTTCAGTCTGGCAACAGGAAATGGGAAAAAAGGAAAGGACAGAAAAGAAAAAGGCCTTTACTGTAAGAAGCAGCGTTAAATACCAAGCCTGGTTCATAACATGCTCGCAAGACCACAAAAAAATTACTTTGTAATTAGATGCAAGTGGGCTCTTCTGTTTTCAGAGTAAGCACATCATCCTGACTCGTTTTGACCATGGTAAGAACAACCCACAAATCCCCACATCCATCTGGAACGGAGAACTGAGTTTTGTTCAAAAGTGAAAGCGGGGGCGGGGGGGTTTCAAAGCCCCTGAGCCTGAGAGTTATGGACTCTCAGCCCCAGTAAATCCCACCATGGGTTTGGGTGCTGTTGCAACTGGGCCTGTAAGTATAATTGCAGTATAAGCAGAACAGGGTTCCACGTAAGCTTCTCAAAATTACTCAAAATCTAGTAAGAAAATTCCACTATGACCTACCAGAGCATGCTCCTCTAGCTAAAGGAATCTTTGGCTGAGTTGACAGAACACGAAAACCCACGGTCAGGGATTATTATGGGCTGAGCAAGGGATTGTAGAGTTGGAAGGGGCCAACAAGGGGTCCAACCACCCCTTCCATGCATGACTCCAATGCAGAGTTGTCACTGCGGGTTGTTGTGTTGTGTGGACCCAGCAGTGCTGATAAATCTTGGTTAAGCACAAACAACCCACAATTCACAACCCAACAATAAACCACAGGTTCTCTTCATGTGATTCACAAACCGTGGCTAGTGTGAATACACATTTCGACAGCGTCCCGCACTCGTAATGCTTGACCTTGAAGATGGATTGCTGCATTATGTGAAACCAACCAGTGACATGGAACACAGCTCTACCTGCTTGGTCCATGCTGAAACCAACTTTTCCTAAATGTGTAAGTGCGCTCTTATTGACACAATGTTATCCACCACACTTACACTGGCAAAACATAAACTGTTTTGCCGCTTTGGCTGCTGACGCTCAGTGGCACATCCCCCTCCAAAGCTTGGAGCGCCAGAGTATTAAACTGCTGTGGGTTTCTAACCCAACCTCACTCTGGATTTGTCCATTCTTTTGCTCTACACGTTGAAGGTGGAAAATTGTGTCATCGCTCTATTTGGCTGCTTTTTGTTTATTTTTTAAGGCATCATGGAAATGAGCCTCCCCCCATGATATTTTGAAAGTCGAGGCCATAATTTATGGTACACAAAGTTAAACGACAAAGCATATTGTTTTAACACTTAATTGCGGATGCTACGGGTGTTGTGCGTTTGAGCTCTCCCAAACGGATGTTAGCTGGGGAGCCAGACCCAAATGAAAAGTTTTACTTTAGAATATGATCTCCTAGCTGGGTCTGTGGAATGCAAACGGGAACGGACACATCTGAACACGGGCCTGATGAGCAGAACCCTTGAAGGAGGGATGCAGGGGTGGAAAGGCGCTTCACGCGTGCCGTTCACAAGCAGCACAACCCACCGGTTGCTGCCCCGATGCGGACGCGGGCCCTGAGTCTTGGTGCTGCTAGTTCTGGTCACTCTGGAAAAGCGGAGCCGCCCGTAGGACAAGATGCTCCAAACCCGCTCAGTTAGCGGGCTGAACAAAGACTGAGCTGCCTCACGTCCGCATGTGTTCAGCGGCTGCACATTGATGCGAACCCAGATGGAAAACACCACTTGTGTGTGTTAACAAAGGCACTCCCAGCTCCGCCCAAACAGGCTGCGTATAAAACAGGGCAGGGTTTACGTTAATCAGCTCTTAACAATTCCACATACAACCTGATTGAAATTCATTTGCATAATAATCATCTGCATATGGCAGAGTTTAAGTTATTTAAAACGGTGTTATGCGCCGGCGTTTAGTCGTGCTCCACCACTGCCTTCGCAGCGGAGCCGTGTGGAGTGCAATTCAGCTAATGAGGTGGCTTTTTAGCTGAGCAAACTGACAGGTCCCGTATCTGCCGAGGCAGCTTGAAGCCATGCCCAACCTCTCAGCCTCCCAAGAGGCTTTTCAAAATTCAATAAATAACATCTGTAGGCGATGTCGGGTGCAGACCCAGGCAGTGCGTCATAACACTGAGCTGGCAGAACAAAGAAACCATGACGACGGCCAGGTTCCCATGGCAACGGCGACGAGGCTCGGGAGTATAATAGCACATCAATCACTGTCCAAAAGAACTTCATTATCAGCGAGGAAAAAAAGCCGCTCGGAATCTGTTTAGCGTGCAACGTAGGTTAACTCACCTCAAAGCCTTGCTCCCTCGCAAAAGTGGCAGCTTCCTGAAATCATAATAAAAAAGGAGCAGTTAATTATGAACTGCCGGATAATGAAGAAATGAGGCCTTCTGGGGCGCGATCAGGCACTCTCCTTTGGCATAATCGCCCGCATGCAACGGTTCAGTCCCGGGCTCTCCGGCTGGCGGGAAGCAGCCGAGTGGCGGCACGCTTCCCGCAAGGAGGGGAGCGGCCCGCCTGTCCCTTCCCCACCGGCGGGGGCGCCTGGGACGGGCGGCCCGCGGCAGGGCGGAGGCGGCGACCCGCAGGGGCTCAGCCCCAGTCGGAGGGCCCGCGGCGCTTCCCACAGGGCACGGCCGCGAGGCCGGGCATCCGCGGGGCTGCCGTGGCTGCGGAAGACGGCAGCTCCCCCGGCTCCCCGCTCGTGGCACCCGCCGTGAGCGATGGGACAGCGCCCCCGGGGTGGGGGGTTTGCGGGCGGTGGGGGGCCACCCAGGGCAAGCTGTCCTCAGTGCAGCAAGTGAGACTGCAGGAGGGACACGTGTGGGCAGCGCCTCCATCACTGACCCGCTGGGTCGTGTAACATGCGATTTCTGCACTGACTGAACAGGAATTCGAACTCAGGTCCCTCCAAAGATCTCTCCACCAGGCCATGCTGCTTCATAAGAGAATTGTATTAGAAGTACTGTAGCTGGGCATCTTATTTTAAATTAACAGCCACCCTGATGTTTTTCAAGGATTAACCCGATGCCCAAATTAAGACACTTTTAAAGCTATTTGTCATTGATTTAACATTAAAGAACTCTGTTCTTTACGTGCTACTTAAATAAAGCAGACCCGACCATTAGTGGTGGAATCAAAAGAATGGCTTAAATTATTCTGATGTGTTAATCACAGCTTTAGGCAACCAAACTCTTCCTAAGGAACTCAAGCAGGACTCCTCATTTCTGGCTTATAGCGAACATGAATAGCTGCAACCTGACTTTGTGTAGATTGGAGAAGGACGGCAGTAACATGGATTTGCTAATCTATTCAAATATGAAGAAATCACTGGAGTTACCTTTCATCTATTGTTGATAATGAAACGACACGATAAAAGCCTCAAAACAAGTAAACATTATCCATAAAAGTTAAACATTTTTAATATGGGATCTTATTTCTAATGCAGCTTTTAGTTCTCTCCTGAGTATCGTAAATATTTCCCCATCAATCACATATTCTCAACAGAAAATAATCTTTAACAAGTCTCGCTATCACATAGGCATTCTTTACTATTGAAAAGGAGAGCTTATTGGTGGGTTTGAACCAAAATAATTTCAGGAAGTACTTCATATAGGCACATTTCTTAGGCACCGGAGAAAAGATACCTCGTCAGACATATGAAAAATCTGAAGTGCGGACAAACGATGATTGCAGATTATTAAGCTGAAGACTAAATGCCACATATTTGAACCAGATGATGCTTCAACTTCCATTTGTAGTCATGCAACTGAAATACACTGGAAGAAATGCAAAAGCCAAATGCAGAGGGCCTCGGTGCAACGAGCCATCAATATCCTACGTGGCCATGGAGCCTGGATGCTACATTTTCTTACACCGGGGGAGAGAAAGTGGTTTCCAGCTCAGGTACTCCGTTTGGAAGAGAGCCTTGCCTATTCTGTGGCACTGCTTCGGTTTCAAATCCTACATGGGGCAAAATCGGGTGCCAGCCGATCCCGGGTGCCTCCCACATGCCCTCAGGTACAACGATACGCATTGTTCTTCTGTGCGCATACCCTACATTGGAAGGTGCACCTTTACAGATATAATTCAGGAAGACACACTCAGTTACTAGAGGCAAACAAGCACATCTGGTGCCGTGCAGATTTTTCCAGCTGCCTCTTGCCATGGCACGTTCCTTAAGTAAGACTATAAGAACTCGGACGGACTGATCCAAAGGTCCATGCAGTCCAGCATCCTGTTTCCCACAGCGGTCTGCGCAACACTTCCAGGAAGCCCACAAGCAGGATGTGGCCCTACCCCACACCCCGTGGTTAAAGGCACCTCTGAGTGCGGCAGCACGGACAGCCAGGAGAAGCCGACAGCCAGCAGGCAGCCGCCACAACCGCGTCCAACCCCAGCCAAGCGCCAGCGGCTGAGGCCGAGCAAAACCCAGAGCCTTCTGCAGAGCCCTGGAAGAGCAGCGACCGGATGGGGGCAGCAAGGAGCCTGGGCTTCCCTCCAAGGGCTGAGCCTTTCTCCTGCACAGAATAAACGCGTGGACACGGTGATCTTTCCTCCTGCTCTGCAGTCCACTGCACATTCATCATGTGCTGATGCTCAGTTCAGGAACTCATCTCGGTTCCCAAGACGCTTGTAGTGAATGGGTTAGAAAAGCTTTTAATAAATAAATACATAATAAACAAACAAACAAACAAACAAACTGTGATTTCCATGTGCGGCCTCCCAGACGTGCTACACAGGAAAAGAGGGAATCCTGGGCTTTTCCCAATCTCTGCAAATACATGGTGCAGACCCTCCGGCCTGGGTAGCAAATCCAGCCCTGCTGCAGTCTCAGCATGGCCTTCCGGGTTTCTCCAGGTGTCCATGTCCTCCTTCCCTGACTTTTGTACAACCCCCACCCCCAAATTTTTAAAAACTGAAACACCCTCTCTTAAGGCTTCGTTCCTGCAAGTGAAAATAGGCCGCATTTTCTGGCATGCGTCCTTGTGCCTGCTGCTCTTCCCACCACTGGAATGCTGCTTCCAAAGGTTCTCTCAAATGGAATTTAGCTGAAAGGGGTTCTGCTTCTCCGAGTCAATACAAACCCAGGCCAGTCTGCAAAAAACCATGACTTTCTATTAAATGAAAGCAGCTCAATACTGAGATATCAGCTATCTGTAATTCTGTCAGACAGACAAGAGTTACTGCACTTGCGCCCCTTTGAGAAGTAGCAACCCTCTATTACGGAACGCTGGAGAATGACAAGCAATGTTGTTCTTCGGCCCTCCTCACATCCCCCTTTGTTCTCCCCTCCAACTCACTCCAATCACGCTCCGTTCATGGGTCTTCTCCCACCTCCCTTCCCGTGACACCTTCTGTGGTGCTTCTTAGAGGGGAAGAGAGCTTGCCCGTTCCGACAGCTTGCTTTCCTGTGTTACGGCAGGAACTGTACCATCAGCTCCCCTGCCAGGCAGCTCTTCTCCCTGCCACTCCCAAAGACGCCGTTCTCCTGCAGAAGGCCTGGCCTGGTGGCTACAGAAAAGGGGGCTACCAGGTTTGGTGCGCTCCTGCCAGGTTTCCCATCGCTTCTTTTTCTGGCCGTTGCTTTTACCGCTGTCGGGCCGTAAGTTCATGGGACAGAAATCACGATTTTTTCCCACCATCTTTGATGGTACCCCAGTTTGGGAATGGCACCTTCTGTTAGATACGCCAGTGGCTGCTGCGAATAATGTTAGGTTGGGCTCAAGGAGTCGAAAAGTTCAAAGTATAAGGCGGCTTTTCAGCACTGATTCAGGAAAAAGACAAGATAATGCAACAAAGCGCTTGCCATCTGCGCCTTCCCACCCCCACGGGCAATGTACACGGGGCTTCACACAGGCAATCAAGAGGGCAGGTTAAAATCGAAGCTGGGAGAGGCAGGCACATTTGGCAACTGGAAGGATGATCCAGCCAGCCAGCCGGGCGCTTCCCAATGCAGGTGGCAATTTGGAGGCGGGGGATGATCTCTATATTAAACAGTTTCCATTTTATATCTGACATCCGGAATCACAAAGGAGATGGGATTAAGGAAATAAACAATCTTCAGAGAAGCTTTACAGCTCCCAAGAGAATGCGGCACGTTCATTTGTGCATGACATGCGACTAGAACAAAAGGGGGAAAAATAAAAACCAAACAAAAAACCAGCAACAGAACAGAATTTCCCTCAGTGGCTGGATTTTAACAGTAGCTTTTCCTTTACCATTGATAAACTTTCCTTATAATTCAAGCATTCATCCTGCAGAACAGGTGAGCAGGGCCATTTTAACTCGCTGTGCTCTGAAATGGGATTTCTACATTGGAAGAGTGGAAGAGTTCTACATTGTCATCTTTTCGTGAAGACCCTACTCTGTTCTCACGTCAGATCGTAACACCGGTGTATAATTCTTCACACTTTAAAAGGCAGCACCCAGCACTAAAGTTGTTTGTTAGCAAAACTGAATATTAAAATGTGTGACAAAGAAAAAAGCAGGTCCGAACAGTACATGCAAATTCATACTGCACAGGAGTGTGCCTAGGCAGAGCTGCTGGAATTATATTGTGTCGTCCCCCCCGGCCCCCGCTTTTCAGCACAACAAGTATTTACATAGGCAACAGGACAGAAATGAAAGAAATGGGATTACAGTGGGATCTGCTGGCTGGATTCACTCCGACCCTGTACCACTGACACCCCCTGCCTGTTAGCTTCCGGGCACAATTCAAGGTGCTGCGTTTGGGACCCGGCGAGCTCCATCCGCCTGCCCAAATGCCAAGATCTATGTCAGAGGCCTTTCTCTCCAGCTTGCGAACAAGGTCCATGAGGCCAGTGGGTACTAGGGACAGCGATTCCTCAGGGATAACCGCCCCCACCCGCACCTTTGGAACTCCTGCGGAGATGGATGCACCTGCACTGGCTTTTAAAAGAAATAAACAAGCCTGGAAGATGAATTTAAATGGTGCTCACAAATGAGTAGCTGCTGGTGCTGTTCTCCCTCTCTGTTTAACTGTACGTTCATGTCTTTGTAATCTAGAAAGAAGGCTTTGTGCTCACTGCACTTCATGAGCTGGGTTTAATCTCTCTTAAATTAATGATAGACACTGATGTTCATACTCATGTCAGTTGTTCTTCCAACAAGGACAATCCCCCCTCCCTTTTAGTTCTGGTTTAAAAAGATGCTGTGTTTGCAAGTGACTCCCCTGAATTTATTAAGTGCAACGGTCTTTCTGTAGCCTGAAAGGAGGCAAGTAACTAGACTGTGGCTTGTGAACATGCCCTGTGGGTCCTACCTACCTACCTACCAGGTTTATTTTCCACCAAGCTGGTCAG